CCCAAGGGCTCAGTCCTCCTGCGATGGCAGGTGCATCGTTGATGTCCTTGGAGCCCCTCGAACAGTGTGCCGCCCCTACTCACCTGAGCTGCCAGGACTCGGGGCACTTGGCATCACGCAGCGGCTACCAGCTCACCGAGAGGAAAGGCTAGAAGTGTTATTTACAGGTTGTGTAGGACTGAACTGGTCTAAGACAGCAGAAACAAACGGACAAAAACAGAAGTATTTTTTGGGCTTCTGTCAGTAAAATGATGGATCTGACCTGCAAGTTTGGCAGGAATATTAAAAGGAAAAGCGTCTCCCAGGGCCAAGCATAGCTTCCAGGATCTATCTTTAGATGGGTGTGGGTGATGGGAGGCACTGAGGGGTAGGGAGAGTTCCAGCAGCGTGGGGCAGAGGGTTTCAGCCTTCATCTCCACAAAGGACCCCACGGGGAGGGGATTGGGGTCTTGGGTGGAGGCCACCCAGGCATCCTGTCCTCACCCCACCTTCTCCTTGGGGGAAGCAGCAGTAAAAACTCAGGCTGAGAAATGTAGACAGCCATTCCTCAGCCTTCCCCGCGGGCGAGGTGGCTTGCCTCTCTCTGACCTGGAACTGTCGGCACTATTTATGCTTAATTGTTTTTAGAAATTCTATTCCTGAGCTGTTGCTTAATAAAACTCCAGGGAGTTTCTCTCTTCCCTTCCTCGATCCCTCCCTCCATCTCCTTTTCTCTCCTTTCTCCCTCCTTCCTTCCCTCCCTTCTCCCTGTTCATTCACTTCCCTTCTATCTACTCTTCTTCCCTCACTTCCCTTATATGTGTGTGTGTGTGTGTGTGTGTGTGTGTGTGGCGCGCGCACCCATGCTGGGGCTTGAACTCAGGGCCTGGGCTCTGTCCCTTAATGTCTTTTCTCAAAGCTAGTGCTCTACCACTTGAACCACAGTACCACTTCTGGCTTTTTCTGGTAGTTTGTTAGAGATTAGTTTCACAGAATTTCCTGTTTGGGCTGGCTTTGAACCGCTATCCTCCAGTTTCAGCTTCCCAAGCATCTGGGATTACAGGTCCGAGCCACTGGTTCCCCTCCTTTCTATTTTTGCCCTTTTCCTTTTGTTTTTAGTCTGTAGAGCAAGGTAAGATGTTTCACACACAGACAAATGATGTGCAGGAGTGAGAATCTGAGGGTGTTCCACCATACCTCTGTGTGGTGTGAGTGTATACTTCCTTTTTTAGAGATACCATTGCTGTACCAATCATAGGACTATAGTCAGAATTGGGCTGGAGGGACTGGTCATTTGTGTGCTCAGGGCAGGCCCTTCTGCTGTCTCTGGCCAAGGTACGCTGAACCCCTGAATGTTTGGGCTGAAGACAGCCGCCCTGGCCTGGGAAAGCAGCTCTTTATTACTCAGAGGAAAATCTTCCCAGGTAGCCACAGAGCCTGCAAGTGATCTATCCCAAAGCCAAAAGCACCTCAGGGACTGTTCCAGAATAAATGTTTGCAGGAAACAGTCCGGTAAGGGAAGCCTGAGGTGTGCTGATGCTGGGTGCCCTGGCTGTGGGCCTGCTCCCCTCCTGCCCCCTGCTGGGTGGGTCCCCACAGGGTAGCACACCCCTCCTTTCCTGCACCGCCCCCCAGCTGAGCCCCTGGAAGGTACTCTTCCACAGACCAGAGTACACGTCCCTGGGACCTCTTGCATGTGGTTTCTGGGAGTTCTCCCAGGGCTCCACGCACCCCAGGAGGTGAGGACCCCGGCTCTGAAGTTTCCTGAGTCTCCATGGTGATGTGGGAATGGAGTCAGTCTCCCCCATGGGGGACTGGGCTCTGCTTGGGGAGGGGTGGAACTCAACAGAGTTGAGCTGACTGACTGGGTCAGAATCAAGACCTGTCCTGATTCCTCTTACCTGGCACCTCACGGCCATGCATCCTGTGTCTCTGTGAGGGCGGAGGCCACCCTTGAGGGGTACACCTGCCCTTGGTGTGTGGGTCTCTTCCTGGCCTTTCTTGGATTTCACTTGTGTTTCTGGCCACTTCCCAGGGGTCCAGCCACCCAGCTCACATGGAGCTATGGAGAGAGGTAAGCAGAGGGCATCTCTGAGCTCGGGGGATGCATCGCAGCTGCTTGGACAGACAGCCCAGCATCTTACCAAACGCAGTGGTGGATGTGTCTTTGCTTTCTTCTCTTTATGGGAGCACCTTCCCTGGGAATCCCCACCTGCCAGTCCTCAGAGATGAGGGGCCTGGTTTGGGGGGACCCTTTGTAGCCCCTGAGGCCACAGGCACTGATTGAAACAGATCCTGGCCCTGTCCTTGCCCCCAGGTACTCTCCTGCAGTGGAGGGCTGTCCATTGCCAACTGACCAAGTCAGTGTTGCTGGAAGGAGCAAGCGATGGTGTTGAGGGTAGTAGTTTGTGGTTTTTGAGGTGTGCTGTGAGTTCCTCACGCCCTGGTTTGCCATCCATTCGGATTCATTCTTTCACCCTTGGGGCCTTCTTGCTGCTCTCTTGAGATTGGCTCTCAGCCCTGGAGGCTGGAGAGGGGCAGGCGCTGGGCCTCATTCCTCAGGAGCTCCCTTCTCTGGACAGACCTGCCCCCCTCTGTGCCCTGGGTCATCTGGGGAGCCACACTGCCACCATGTTTGTGAGCACACCCTGTGCTCTCAGCCCTGTGGGTCCCACACACCAGCTATGCATGGAGAATCGCACACTCAGTCGTGGCCTGGACAGCGGGCCACGTGGAAAAGAACTCAGCTTCATGCACTCGGGGAGAAGCCCGTCCCGAATGCTGTTCTGTGCTCCTTGTGGCCAGGGATCTCTCCCTGCCTCCCCTTTCTCCCTCCTTCTCCCTCCCTCCCTTTCTCTCCACCCTCTCCCTCCCTCCTTCCCTTTCTCTCCACCCTCTCCCTCCCTCCTTCCCTTTCGCTCTCTCTTTCTCCCTCCCCCTTTTTCTTCCCCCTTCCCCTCTCCCCGTTCTTTCCATCCATCCACATTTCCGCCACATCTTCCCTGCTGGCCATTAGAAGTCAGGAATCTGTCAGTGGCTGCTCCAGCCTCTGTTGACTGGAAATGCTTAGTTTCAGTGGTCTACCTGCTTATCCATCCATTGTATTCCCAGCACCTTCCAGACACATTAGGCAATAAACCAGGCAGAGTTTTTCTTTGAAGGCCAAATCTACTCCCCAGAGCTTGAAGACCAGTGCATATAATGCCAGTTCTCATAAACAGAGCCACTGGTTCCTATCTTCCGCATCATGTAAATAAATGCCTGCGCCCTCATGGCGGCTGGCACAGGACAGGTGAATTCATCTTGGTGGGGCCTGTGGGGGGTGGGGTCTTGAATTGATGAAAGGTTCTTGAAGCTTAGTAGCTCCCGCAGCTCCCACCCATCATCCTGGATTCTAAGGGTCAGAATCAAGAGGATCACCAGCATTTAGAGACCAGCGGGGCAGAAAGGTTCATAAAACCTGACCCCTCCTCTGCGGTTCCTCACTGGATACATGGTGCACGCCTACCATCCCAAGCTGTGTGAGAGACCAAGACTGGGAGATCTCAGTGCCAGTCCAGCCCAGGCAGGAAAATCTGTGCCAGTCCGTCTGTCTCCAGGGAGGGAAGCTGGATTTGGGTGGTGTCTGATGCATGCCTGCAATTCCAGCAAGCATGGGAAGCTTAAAGCTCGGGTTCATGCCGAGGCAGGAAGGGAAAACCAGACTTTTTCTCAAAAGTAACCAGTGAAAACCAAGAATGCAGGTGAGGTTCAGTCACGGAGCACCAGCCTGCCAAGGGTCAGCTCACAGAAAAGGACTGGAGAAGGAGGAGGTGGACAGGTCTCAGATTCCCCTCTACCAGAGGCTGGCTGTTCCCAGCTAGGGTGATGGACAGGACAATGTGGGGACAGCATGGTCCTGTTCTGCTTGAGGACCCAAGACTGGCATTAGAGTGAAGGCAACCCAGCACTGGAAGTGGTGTTGGTGGAGAGCTGGGTGCACTTGCCCAGGTGGTGACGTGGAGCTGCCATGGACATCCTGGCTGGCCACAGCAGAGAACGCTCCACCCCCAGCCCGTGGCTTGCCACCCGGGCAATGAGGTGCTTCTCGCCTCCAGGGCAGTGCCAGGGCCGGCCGCAGCTCTCCCTCCCTGCCCTCCCCCTGGTGGATTTATAACAGCTGGGTATGAAGGATGCTGTGTGATCAGTGGAGCCCTGGACCATCTCCTCCAGGAGACGCCTGCGTCTTGTGCAACAAAACTTCATTTTCTCCTGAGAACTGCCTTCGTGATGAATTGGCCAGCTGTTCAGCATGAAACATGTCCATGCCTCCCACCCTCCCCAGCTCCTCCACGTGGCTCTCCATGCTCCCCATCTCCCCTGCCCTCCACCCTCCTCATCTCCCCATTTCCCCTGCTCTCCACCCTCCCTGTCTCCCCTGCCCTCCAGCCTCCCCAGTGTTCCTGGCCTCCCTGGTGCCTCATTGCTCCAGGCAGCTGCGGCGTTAGTGTGCGCGTGTCCTCATGTTCGTTCATTTCTGCTGTGCTGTTCCAGAGGTGGCTGAGGTGCAGAACAAATTCCTGAGCAGCCTGGACACAGGCCGGGCTCTTGCTGGGGTTACACCCTGTGGAGCCGGCTCCCTGGGGGTGAAATCTTAGTGTTCTGATGTCCTACATGCCGGCTTCCTTGTTGGGCCTGAGCAGCCCTTGGTGGCTCTGTGGACATCGTAAGCTGTCTGCCCTAGAAACTGCAGAGGTGTGTGCTAGGGTTTGCTGCAAGAGGAAGAGGGCAGAGCTAGTGGGGGAGGAGGGGAGTGCTCTGCAGGGCTGTGTGGGTGTCTCCCAGTGGGGTCAGGGGCAACCCTGGGGGAACAGGGGAGACCACACCACTCCCCAGGAGCTTCTGCTTTGGAGGGGATCCCAGGGAGGCGTGTGTGAGTGGGGACTGGGACTTAGGGTGCAGGGGGGTCGGTGGAGCCGGGCGTCTCCTCTGCAGGGCAGGCTGCAGGCTCTGCATGCTCTCATCGCCCATCTCCTCCTCAGGTGCAAGGAGCTCAAGTACGCCAAGGAGCTGCCACAGATCTCCATCATCTTCATCTTCGTGAATGAGGCACTGTCGGTGATCCTGCGGTCCGTGCACAGCGCCGTCAACCACACGCCCACACACCTGCTCAAGGAGGTCATCCTGGTGGACGACAACAGCGACGAAGGTATGGTGGGGAGTTGCCAGAGGGGAAACACGGGGACACCTGCCCATGGGGACATCCGCCCCCAGGCTGGATGACCACGTCCCGGGCACCGAGGAGCAAGTCAGGACTGAGATGTGTTTTAGAAGTTATTATTGAGGGCACTCTAAAAAGAAATTGCTGAGCCAGGTGTTCATGGCTTACATCTGTCATCCTGGCTACTCTGGAAGCTAAGATCTAGAGGATCCCAGTTCAGGAACAGCCTGGGCAGAAAGGTCTATCTTCAAAATAACCAGCAAGAACAAGGGCTGGAGGCGTGACTCAAGTGATAGGGCACCAGCCGAGCAAGCAAGCACAAGGCCTTGAGTTCAAAATCCTAGTAATATTTAAAATCAAAAACAACTTGAAGCCAAGCATGGAGTATAGGGCTTTAATCCTAGCATTCAGAAAGCTGACAGGAAGATTGAGTTCAAGGCTGGTCTGAGACTTGTTTGAAAATTAGAAGAGAAAACGAAAAAAATCGTGTCTCACATAATTCCCCTAGTCCCTAAATGGTGACAGGTTGGCTGGACAGAGCCACTCCTGTATCTCGTGTGGAATTCGGTGCCAGGAGGAGCCAAGCACGCAGGCATTTCAAACACAAAACAAGCAAATACTGGTTAGCCAGAGTGGAACCCCTGGGAGGGCCCGGGGGACTGCCATCCGGATGCTGAGGGATGATAGTTGCTGTGAATTGTTCCCTGTGGGAGGGGTGACAGGTAGGCTCTGTCAGTCAGCCCCTGTGGGGGGGTGATAGGTGCTGTTACTCATCCTGTAGTGCTGCCTGGCAGTGGTCAGAGTTCACAGGGCTCAAGAGGACAGGAAGCCAGCAGTACTGCCTGCCCCCCCCATGCTGAGACCTCATGCCCCATGCCGTTGGTGCCCCCCTGTGAGGGGCAAAGGGTGGAGCAAGGGCCTGTGGCAGAGCGGCTGGAGGTGGTAGAGCTCACAGAACCAGCGTGGCACCCTCAGGGCCTCAGCATGGCTGGAGGGAGGGGCAGCCCCCACTCAGGAGTCCCTGCCCCCCACCGGGAGAAGAGCGCTCTCTGGTAGACAAGCCCCTGAGGGACTGGGTGGTATGGACAGAAACACAGATTCATGGGCACATGGTTCATCAGAGAAGCATGGGCTGGGAGCTCATCCTTTTTCCTTTTTGTGGCTATATTGGGGTTTGAACTCAGGGCCCTATGCTTGCTAGGTAGGCCGTACTCAGCACTGGGACACTGCGTGAGTTCTGACCCTGCCCACTTGGATCACTCCACCCTCTCCTGAGCCCTGGTATGTGTCTTTTATGTGGACGGTCCCCAGTGTGGTCTGACCTGCAGCGATGCGGGTCAGTGATGACCCTCAGTGCCTGCCCCAGTGTCAGCACTTCCCTCCCTTTCCCTTCCTCCCCCCTCCTCCCCTCCCCTTTCTTCTCCTCCCTTCTGCCCCCCCCCCAGCCTGGGGCCCAGCCTGCCCAGATCCTAGCTGTTGTTCCGGTCTTTGGCATTTTTTAAAGTTTGGTCTTCACTTGGGAAGGCTGGAGTGGGGAAAGTGGGTGCCTGGGATTAGATGGGTCCAATTTCTAGGCATATCCCATTATTATTCTGTGCATGGCTAGCCTCTCTTCATTTCTCCCTGTTTTAATTGATATGTAACTTGCTTACAAGAAAATACGCCATTGGAAAGCACACAATCCAGGGACTTTCAGCACAATCCTGAGGTGCTGTATGTGTCTGCACTCTCGAATTTCAGGACAGCCCCAGCAACCAACTGCCAGAGCCCTCTTGCTGGCTGCCAATCTTTCCCAAAGCCCTGGCCAACCAGGACCTGCCACGTCAGCTTTTTGCTGGTTAACAGGAGATAAGAGTCTCATGGACTTTCCTGCCCAGACTGTCTTTGAACCATGATCTTTAGCTCTCATTCTCCTGATGGCTTCATGTAAGAAATAATTGCTGACGCCTTGAGCTGAAGAGCTGAGGGACAGCGCCCAAGCCCAGAGTTCAAGCCCTACTACTGACAAAAAAAAAAAAAAAGGAATAATTGCTTGAGCCAAGGCCACATGTAGACCGGTGCTTTCTTCTAGGAGTTTCTGTGTTTGGGTACTTGGTTTGGGTCTTACTCCTTTGTGAGTGGATTTTTCTCTCTCATACCACCATTCCCACAGAGCCTGCCCTCTCCCCACCCAGCACCATATACGCCATCACGTCCATTCCCACGGGGCCTGTCTTCATCCCCGGCCTGCTCATGGCATCCTCACCAAACTAATGGCATGTAGACTCATTTCTGGGTCTTCGGTTTCTCTGATCTATGTGTCTATCCTTATGTCTTGGGAATTGCTTCCAAGATTGTGAGGTAAAGCCGTCCAACATTGCTCATTAAAAAAAAAAAGTTTGAGCTGGGCTCCAGTGGCTCTCACCTATAATCCTAGCTACTCAGGAGGCTGAGATCTGAGCCTCATAGTTCAAAGCCAGCCCAGGCAGAAAAGTCCCTAAGAGACTCTTACTGCCAATTGGCGCTGCGGCCCAAGGGCTTAAGTGGTAGAGCGCTAGCTTGAACACAAAGAGGCTCAGGGGCAGCACCCAGGCCCTGAGGGCAAGCCCCACAAACTGACCAAGAAAAAATGTTTAGTTGGCTGAGTATGGTGGCATATACCTATAGTCCCAGCTATTCAGGGGGCCTAGCCAAAAGCATGAAGCAATGGCCTGGGGGTGTGGCTCAGTGGGCCCTGCATCCAGTCATTCTGTTCTGGGCTCCTGACTTACTCATATAGTGTACAACCAACTGCCTTCTACATTTCTTCAAGAAAAGGGAATTAGAATTATGTCCAGGAGTGGCTGAGTCTATAGATCATTTTGAGCACTAAGGCCATCTGAATTTTTTTAAAAAATCCATGATCAGAGTCATCTTGCTATTAAAGTTGAATCCACTTCAGTAGTGTTACAGTTTTTATTACACGTCTTACAATTCCCTGGTTGAGTTTACTTCTAAATATTTTATTGCTTTTGATGTCATGGCAAATGAAATTGCTTTCTTAATTTCATTTCTGAACTTTTCATTACTAGCGTACAATCTATTCTCTATCAGTTGTATTTCTACAACTGATTGTGACGTATCGATCCTGTGTCTTTTATCTTTACTGAGCTTGTCTATTTGCTCTAATAGATTTTTCCCCTTTGGTGGATTCTATCTTTCTCCCTCTCTCTCTGTACAAAGACACAGAGATAGAATCTAATATCTATCGTATTATCTTTAAGGAGTGATCATTCTTTTATTTTCTAATTCTTTTGTCTCTGCTTGCAGTTTCCCAGGTATCTAGTTTTCCTGTTTGTTTTGGTTTGTGTGTGTTTGTGGGACCCCCATGCACCGCTTTTCCCCCACCTCTACCTCTCTTCTGTGCCTCATCCCACACAGTCCATGAGCTGAGTCTGGGGAAACACAAGGCCCAGGAGCCTCCCAGGCAAGATGGTGGGATGGAGATACTCCGAGATGCCCCAGGCCTGAGCCCAGCTGGCTCCCCGCTGTGATGCTGTGATCATGGCTGCTGACTGGGTATCTCCGTCAATAGGAATGTTGATGCTCTCTCTCTAGCTCCATTGCCTTGTCCTCCCAGGTCTGTTTGTTTTATGAGAATGCAGAGCCTTATTATTGCTAAGATTCCCAGTGTTCCCCTCTCTCCTTTCTGGGTTTTTCTGGAATCTTCTCTCTCGAGGGTTTTGGGCTTTGCGGTGATGAGCAGTTTGCACTAACGACAGGGGACGTGCAGTGTCTGCAGTCTGGAGTCCAGTTTCTGTCGGCTTTGGGGAAGTATTTATTGGTAGCCCCCCCGTCCCCGTTTGTTCTGTTTGTTAATTCTGTTTAATGCTGGCCGCCTTCTGCCAACGTTACAGTCTCCTGTCTCTCCTCTTTCTGTCTTCCTTTCTTTCCAAATCTTTTTCTTTTTTTTGCTTTTCTTGCTACTTTATCTTGTCCCCCTTGGTTCAGTTTTCAAATTTCCCATCATTCTGGTTGTACTTCCAGGTGGCCACTTCCATCCTGCAGAACTTCTGTTTTACATCATGTTGCCCTTTTTAAAGGGAGCAGTATGTTCTCTTCCCCGCTGTCCCCCGAGGTGCTCGTAGTTTTTGTTTTCTCCTCTGGCTGGATTGTTTAGTTCCTATCCTTGTGTTGGAGAATCCATCAGATCAAGGATGGCCATGCAGAGCTCAGCATCTCTTTGCTTGGCTTTGGTGGTAGGGGGATTTGAAGTCAGGGTCTACTGCTTGCTAAGCAGGTATTCTACCTCTGAACCCACTCTCCAGCCCCTTTTTTGCATAAGGTTTTGTTTTGCTGTTGTTGTTTTGGTGTTGGTCCTGGACTTGAACTCATGGCCTTGGTACTGTCCCTGGGCTTTTTTTTTTTTTTTTTTTTTGCTCAAGGCTAGCAACTCTACCACCTGAGCCATACCTCCACTTGCAGCTTTTTTAGTAGTTAATTGGAGATGAGAGTCTCATGGACTTCTCCTGTCCCAGACTGGCTTTAAACTGCCATCTTCAGATCTCAGCCTCCTGAGTAGCTGGGATTACAGGCGTGAGCTCCCGCGCCTGGCTTGCACTAGTTATTTTTCAGATAGGTCTTCTTTTATGCTTGGCCAACCTGGGCTGTGATCCTCTTACTTGGTGTTTCCCTGTGTCACTAGGGGTCTGCCCTGGCGGAGGAGGATGGGATCCCATCCTGCCCCTTGCCCTCTCCTTTATTTCCTGTCTGGGGAGTAAACATTCTAGTTCTGCCATGCCCTGGCACCATGATACTCCGTGTCACCTGGGATACACAGCCATGGAGCCAGCAGGACTGAGCCCTCCAGAGCTCGATGGGCCAAAAAACCCTGTACACTAATTATCACAGGTGTTTGTTACAGCACCCAACACCATTAGGGTTTCAGGGTGATCTGGGTGCTTGTGGTCCTGTGGTTGATGGCCTAGTGGTGTTTTAGCATAATTAGAGAGAGAGTGGCTGGCGTGGTGAGTGCACTTGAGGATGCTGAATGCAAAGTGATTCAAGAGGTAGATTTTAATGGCATGGACTTTACCACGAGAAGACAAGAAACAGTGAACCAATGCTTCTGAGACAAGCCGGGCCCCCATGGGCAGTGTGTGGGGGGGCCCCGAGGCAGGCTCAGAGCACCTGGGCCCAGCCCTGGCCTTACGTCCCCTCTGCTCCTGTGGCTCTCTCTAGGAATCTCGTGGTCAGGACGCAGCTCGTGCTGTGTTCTCTGCGGTGAGCGCTCACGCTGTGCTGGTGGCTCCCTCCTGGGAGGCGCACAGACACCTTTCACCCAGAGTTCCTGTGCGATTCCCCTCCTGTGCGGCCTCAGTCTCTGTCTCAGTGCGCAGATCTGCTGTCCTCGTAGCCTGTGCTGTACTCACTCTACCACAGGCATTTATTATAATTGTTATAATTGTTGATTTAATTACCGTTATTCCTGTTGATCTCTGGCTGTACTTAATTGATAAGTTACTGGATAAACTGCACACATGGACCTTGCTCCTGTGCTCTTACACAGGAGAGAATTCCCTGTCGGGGTGGGGGCTCAGGGCAGAAGCCAGGGTAGCGGTGAGTGGGGCTCCCACTGCGGGATGGTCAGCTGACCCCATGGGCCAGGCCAGCAGTCCACATTCTGTCTGGGGAAAGACTCAACATCCGCACTTCCCTTTGGGCCGAGATCATCTCTAAGCTGTTCCTTCTTTGAGCCACTTGTGGCAAAGGGAAAGCCACGGTGGGGAGGGGCTGAACGCATTCTCTACGCACAGGCTAGTACATCACGGAACCCGGTGCAGAAATGCCAAACCAGAGTTGCCAGCACGCCCTCACCAGAGCACCCGTCCTGCAGGGTGTGTGAGGAATGCCAAGTTCTTAATGCCAGGCTCTGTGGTGCATACCTGTAATCCTGATACTTGGGAGGCAGAGACACAAGTTCAAGGCCAGCCATGTTTCATATAACAGTGACAGGAATTGGAAATTCTCAGGCCTGCGGGTTGAAGTTTGAGAAGTGCTTGTTGGAGCCTAGGTAGATTCTCCATGGTCTCCATCCGCTGAGGGTGACGGAGATGGGAAGGTGCAAATGTGTCCATGCTTCAGACCCAGCAACAAGGTGAAGGCGAGGGACAACATTGCCTGCCACTGAGCTAGATCCAGGGACTCCATCCAGCCCTGGGCAGCATGGCCTCTCCCAGACCACTGACCATGGCAGCCTCCGGCACCCAGGCTCCTTCACTGTTTTGGAAGAGGGCGGTGAGGAGTCCCAGGAGGAGCACTGAGCACAGCCTGGAGATGCAGGGCCCAGGGTTCACTCTGCACCATGTCTCAGTGCTGGGCTCCAGGGAGAATGCTGTCATTACGCCTTCTGCCCAGGCCACCGGTCCTCCCTTTCCACTCAGCCTGGCTCCTTCTGGGCCCTTCTGATCCCTGCAGTGCTCCTCCGTTCCCTCCTCTCTCCCCAGGTTTTTTAATCAAAACCTTGACAAAGCATTCCCAAATGACACTAGACCAATTTCCTATTGAATTTCATCTCTTCCTAGAAGGCAAACATATGTCTTCATGAAATGAGCTTTTGTGTTCTTCCTTGAGTTTCTTGGTGAGAAGGAAACAGAAACAATGTGGAATTATTTTCTTGCTCCCCTTTAGTTTTTGCTTTCCCACTCTCCTACGTCTGCCGAGGCTCACGCTGGCCAGGGCACCAACCTGCACTTGGTGACGCCAGGTTGCATTGTGTTTCAGCTTTTCCCTTAGGTGTGGGAACTGGAACAGGAGCGTCTCCTTCGGATTGCGTCTCGATTTACAAAACGGAATTATCCCACTGGTTGTTGGAATTAATGTAGTAAGCTCTTAGACTGGTTGTAAGCGTGACAGCCTGCTTGCTGCTGAAGGGCAGTGTTTAGTCCTTGACAACATGGCTCGGGCCTAGGTGTCACGCTGGGCACAGATCCCCTGGCATCTTAAGGCCGTCACGGGCCCTGCTGGCACTGTGCCTGGTGTGTGGGCACCCGGGATACATTCTTCAGAATGTCTCTGTGCAGATGGAAGAGTCCATTCATAGGCCAATAAGAGGACAGGAAAATGAGTAGGGAAGTTGGGAGGAGCTGTACTGCCCACTGCCCTGCTTGGGATATGAAAGCCAGGGCTGTGTCCCACTGTAGGTGTAGAAACAGAGACTGTAGCTTATCTCAGCACAGCCCTCCTGGAGGGAGGTGCAGGGCAGGGGAGGGGAGGGGAGGAAGGCACAGGGCGGGGAAGGGGAGGGGAGGGAGAAACAGGATAGGGGAGGGGATGGGTTCTGGCTGTGATGAACCCTAGCCAGCAAGCTTCCCCGAGGCGCTGTGGGCGTGGCTGTGGCTGGGTGCCATGCTACAAGGCCCTGTTCACAGACTGGCTGCGTTTCTGTCACCTGCAGAGGAGCTCAAGGCCCCCCTGGAGGAATATGTGCACAAGCGCTATCCCGGGCTGGTGAAGGTGGTGCGGAACCAGAAGCGAGAGGGCCTGATCCGAGCACGCATCGAGGGCTGGAAGGCGGCCACAGGCCAAGTCACCGGCTTCTTCGACGCACACGTGGAGTTCACGGCTGGCTGGTAGGTCCCCTGCCGGCCTCAGGGTCTGCAGGGTGGTGGGAAGCAGAGGCTGGAGGGGGGGCGCTTTGACTGTGTCCTTGGGGGCCATTGGAGGAATGGCGAAGGCTGGCTGGCAAAGCTGAGACTGCTGGGGTAGGCAGACTGCTGTCCATGCTAGGCCACCGTCCCTGCAGCCTTCACATAACATTGTTCCCCATCATGCGCCATGGGGTTTGGTTTTGTTTAGTGGTGGGTGCTGGGGTTTGGATGCAGGGCCTTGTGCTTGCTCAGGAAGGAGCTCTTCTATATGAGCCATACCTCCAGCCTATTTTGCTTTAGTTTCTGTTTCAAATAGGGTGTTTGCCCAGATTACCCTCAGAGCACAATTCTCTTACCTATGCCTCTACAGAGCTGGGATTACAGGTGTGCACTACCATGCCTAGTTGAACTAATTAATTGGACAAACTCAAGATAAGCTGGGAATGGTGCTACACACCTATAATCCCAGCTCCTGGAAGGCTGAGGCAGAAGGATCTTGAGTTCAAGGCCAGCCTTGGCTACATAGCAAAAAGCTGCCTCAAAAAAACAAAGAGCAAAGCATCAGCAAAGCTCAGGGTATTCCTCTGAAGGAGAGTAAGATGGCCACGTTTTTACCCCTTACCCTCTTTGCTTGTTCCCATTTCTGGGGAAGACGGCTCCCGGTTATTATGAAAAAAGAGATCTCCTTAGAATTCTGCCTACTCAGGCAGTTGCCCAGGATTTATGGGATTGTCTTTAATATCATTTGGAGGAAGAAGAAATTTATTCTGTGCAGATGTAGCCCCGATGTTCTCCCAGGTAGAAAGAACATAAAGAGAAATTGTTTTGTACACAAGAAGTAGAAGATTCATGCTAAAATTAGAAAAAGGACTTTATAGTTTGAACACACAGTCAAATGATTATTGCCCATTAACCAACTATATAAATCAACACCCAATGGCCAGGGCTGATTAATGAATGAGAGGAATCTTTTCTTTTTAATTGACACATAGTGGCTATATGGATTTGTAGGACGTGGTGTGAGATTTTCACAGTCCTATGCAATAGGTATTGATTAAACCCAAGAAATTAGTATATCTGTCACCTGAAACCCCGATTATTTCTTTGCATTGGGAGCATTTAAAAAAAATCTCTTCTAGCTGTGTTGAAATATACAGGATATTATGACTAACCACGATTAGGCTACTGTACTGGAAAACACAATAATTTAATCCTCTGCCTCCACCATGCCCTTTGCCTACCCCCTCTCCTAGTCTTCAGCCACCTTTACTCACCTGTGGCTTCAATGAGATCAAACCTCTTTAAAAAAGAAGCAGAGTAGTATACTTAACAAATAATTTGTTTAGAAATTATGCACAGACCCAGATCTGAATATCCTGGCGCCAGGCACCTGTCTGCCTGTTTAGAGTCATTGGAGGATGGGTAGGAGGAGGATGTGCATCCGCACAAGCACACACACCAGAGGGTCGCTGTGAACCCTGGCCCCTTCCAGAGTCCCCAGGAATCTGCCACCATCTTGGATAACAGATGTCTTGTCTGGTTTTTCAGTCTTCAAACCCTGGTGATTTCTGGCTGTGCATTCAGTCTCAATTTTTCGCCTGAGTTCAGAGTTGTTTGTCTCTTATAGTAGTTCTCAAAGGAGGTCTCCTGGCCTGCAGCACAGGCACCGTCAGGAACTGGACAGGAACGCAAACCCTCAGGCTCCACCAGCCCTGTGTGCCCAAAGCTGGCGTGTGACACTCAGGGTGTGGAGTCCTCAAGCTGTCATAACTAGCTCTCCAATCCAACTGGATTGGAGTTATAAGCCAGCACATGAGTCCAGTCCTCTATAATCACTAGCCACCATGGGAGTCCAGTCCTATCACAAACCAGCACATAACTGCAGTCCTCCAATCACAAGCCAGCACATGAGTTCAGTCCTCCACTCACAAGCCAGCACAAGTCTAGTTCTCCAATCACCAGTCAGTACATGACTCTAGTCCTCCAATCAGCAACTATCATATGTCTCCAGTCCTCCAGTCACACGACTCCAGAGTGAGAGATGTTGAGCTAAGAACCTTCTTTTTTTATTTTATTTTTCTGGTCGTGGGGCTTGAACTCAGGGCCTGGATGCTGTTCTGGGCTGGAGGTTTGGGGATTCCACTGGATCTTGATTCTCTGGATTTCTTCTTCAGAGCTTCCAGTGGTAACCAAGACAGTCATTCAAAGTCTGGCAGGATTTGGTATCTTGTCCCTGTTCCCCCTCCCCCAAGTCTGTAGTCTAAGTGGAGGCCATCTGGTCAAATCCACATCTCTCCAGTCATGAAGACTTGTGCTTTGCATTCCCACGAGTGGCCCATGTCTCCTTCCCAACTATGACTCCCACTACACTGTGAGGGCTGCATCCATGCGGCAGGACCAGAGCCACTTGGGGGATGTGTGGTCCATTGAAGGAGGAGGTTGGAAACCAGACCATCTAGGTTAGAATCCTGCTGACTGTGTGGCCTGGGGCCAGCTCCTCAACCTCCCTGTGTCTCAGTTCCCTGATTTCTAAGATGGTGAATGTCGCTTCTCTCCTACGATTGCTGTGGGGTTCCATTAGGCCATGTAAACCACGCAGCCGGGTGCCAGCACTTAGCAAGGGTGGATTCCCCAGCAGCTCAGGCCCAGCAGAGGCAGCAGGGTTGAAGAGAGGGTTGAGTCGAGAGTCACTAAAAGTGAGGGAAGATGCAGGGGGTTAATGGCACTTTATCTGTCTCCTTGGTGGTGCTGAAGGTGTTCTCACAGGAGAGCGGTGGGGGCAGGACCTGGAGGGGCCAGGCCTGACTCCTGGCCAGGAGCTGTGGAACGTGAGCCCGTTTGACCTCAGCTACAACATGCTGTATGCAAAAGTATGAAAGGTAATAACTGCCCTTGTTCCTTTTCAGTTGAAGGGTAGGCCAGGCACTGGTTGTTAATGCTTGTAGTTCTAGCTACTCGGGAAGCTGAGATCTGAGGATTGCAGTTCAAAGCCAGCCTGAATAGGAAAGTCCAGGAGACTCTTAGCTCCAGTTACCCACTAAAAAGCCTGCAGTGGAAGTATGGCTCAAGTGGTAGAGCTCCAGCCTTGAATGAAAAAGCTCAGGGACAATGCGCAGGCCCTGAGTTCAAGCCCTAATATTAGCACATGCACAGGGATGTTCATGCACGAGCGTGTGCACGCATGCACGTGTGTGCGCACACACACACACACACACACACACACACAAAGATAAGATGAGCCAGTGGGTACCTCAGGAGCTGCAAAGCAAGAGAGATCGGAAGTAGACCTCGTGTTTCCTCTCATCATCCTTCTCAGTAACTCAAAGAAGTGGTATTTTTTTTTCCCCTGCCTCTCTTCCAAAGCCTGTGGCTGTCTGTGATCTGAGCCGGGGATTAGTGCCCGGGCTTAAGACTAGAGCTTTCCTTCCCTTCTCGAACGTGGGAGATGATCCCTTCCTTCATCCGTTTCAGATGCACCCTGGCAGAGGAGTCTGGCTGTCTGCCTTCTCCTAAGCCGGCCAGCTGCACCTTGAACCTGGAGCGGAGCCCCTCCTGCCTGGTGCTGGCTGCTGCCCCACCCCCAGGGGCCGGCCGGGCAAGATTGTGCTGGGCTTTGCATTTAATTAGTCCCAAGTCTTCCATCGAGAACCAATTCAATTAGATCCCTTTTAAGAAATCAATTAAACAATCTACTAAAGCAACTGAAATAGTTGCACACACAAAGGCTAGAAAGATGCTTGTCGGAACCGCAACATGGGGCCCAAAGTGACCTATTTGGGGAAAGGGAATTTGGTGCCAAGAGAGAAGCAGTCGAGAGGTGGCAGATGTTGCCCTCCAGGGGGCAGCTGCAGTGGGTGCCCAGAGCCAGGACTCTGACTTGAAGAGAGTTCTGGAACTTTCTGAGGGTTTGGTGTGAATTCTCTTCTCCAGTCTTCTCAGGCCAAAGCAGATATTTCACTGTAAGGATTTCCAACATGGAGGAAAGCACAAGCCCTGCTTTTCCTGCATCAAATCCCCTACCCCCAGGGGGAGTGGGGGGCTGCAGTCTCCACCTCGGGCAGGACCTCTGGTTTGGGGGCCTTGGTGTCCATCTGAGTTCCCGGTGCCCAGCGCCTGGCCTTTTCTCTACGTGGCTCCTTGTCTCGGGTGTCCCTGGGGCTGGATCTCAGCAGAGGTTGAATTCCTCTCCTGTGTTGCAGGGCAGAGCCTGTCCTGTCTCGAATCCAGGAGAACGGGAAGCGGGTGATCCTGCCGTCCATCGACAACATCAAGCAGGACACCTTTGAGGTGCAGCGCTACGAGAACTCAGCCCACGGATACAGCTGGGAGCTGTGGTGCATGTACATCAGCCCCCCGAAAGACTGGTGGGATGCCGGGGACCCTTCCCTCCCCATCAGGTCAGTGCCCTGTGTGTGTGTGTGTGTGTATGTGTGTGTGTGTGTGTGTGTGTGTGATTGGCTAGCCAGCCTGATGCCAGGGTAGTAGGGCAGGGAGGGGGCTGGGGAGATGCCACGGGTGGTGCAGGGGGGCAGACAGCTCCCCAGAGGGTCAGTGGCGTCTCAGGGTCCTGGCCTCTTTGCGAGGGAGGGTGCTGTTCTTTACTCCTTCAGCTGTGGTTTGCAAGTTCAGCCACACCAGGAGGTTGGCACTGGGAATTAGAAGCCTTGTTCTTCCTGGGTCTTGCTCTGGGGCTGGGGCTTTCTGCTGGGCACATGGCCTGGCGTTCGTGTTTTCTTGGTTATGGGCACTGTGGCTCACTGTCTGGCCTGAGTGCTGGGCTCTGTCACAGCTTAGGTATGGGGACTGCTGCGGGCGCCATGCCAGGGGAGCATCTACCTGGCTTCCCTCCTGTCCTTCCGGACCATTATATGATTGTGAGGCCTGGTGTTTACTGCCGTGTTCGTGGTCCAGGATGACACAGTGGTGGCCATGGGGCGTCTCGTGCAGCCGGAGGACCCCAGAGAGCTGCCCTGGGACTTGGGGCCCTGCATGGTGGCCTGTGGTGTGCATGGAAGGCAGGGGGTTGTGGCTGCAGCCAGTAACAATTCCTGCGGTTACAGAGAGTGACAGAGACCACATGTGCCATGTTCCAGCCGTCCCCAGTCCCCTCTGCACCCTGCATCTCTGCATCTGCTCTTGGCCACCTGAGTTTCCGCCCTGCTTCCTCCTCCATGGGGCCATCTTCCCCTTCTGCACCCTACAGTGTAGTCCAGGGTGACCTAGGGTTGGAGATCTTTCTGTTTCCGCCCCCCCCCGCCCCTCCCCTCCGTGCTGGAATTCATTACAGATATGTGCCACAGTACCCAGCTGCCCTGGTTTTCCCGTCTCCTTCCTGTAAAGACCCTCACTCTGGATCCTTAGCATAACTAGATGCAGTATCTGCAAGGTGAAACCTCCCAACCTCAGAGCTCAAGTGTCAATGTGGTGGTCAGGATGCAGCAGCATTATTAGTTAGGTTTTTTTGTGCTGGCATGGGGGCTTGAACTCAGGGCTTTGCACTCTTGATTAGCTTTTTCCCTCCAGGCCCGCACTCTACCACTTGAGCCACACAGCTCCATTTCTAGCTTTTTGCTGGTTCATTGGAGATGGGAGTCTTACAGACTTTGAACTGAGACATGGAGCATCTTCTCCCATGTTTTACCAGTGCTGGGAACATAGTGGATGATTAAAATGCGCTTTTAAGAGAGTCACGAGAAGTCGTGATCATGAGTCATTAATATTACAATGCTGTATGAAATGGAATCAGATCCCAGCAATCTCCTTTGAGATGTCTCTTAAGTCCTGAAACACGTAATTTGTGAAGAGGCGGTGGGGTGCTGAATCGTAGGAAGAGAACTGTGTTCACATCTTTCTGATATTAAGCGGTAGAATGCACTTGCTTCACCCATAGAATATGGTGGTCCCTCTTCCACCTTTTCCTCCTCCTCCTCCTCCTCCTCTTCCCTTTTCTCTTCCTTTTCTTCCTTCCTGTCCTCTTCCTTCTCCTCCTCGTGTTGCTAACGTTTTAATACTTAGAAGTTTCTTCTTTACAGTTTCCAAAGACCAGCTTTTCTGGTAGGTATTGTGACACAAGACATTTGTCCTAGGGAATGCTGGCTCTGTCTGGGTTAGTTCTGTCCTGATTCTGCCTAGATAGTTTTTCCTTTCTGCCTCTAGAATCTTTTCCTGTTGCTCTCCTTTGCTGCAGGGTTTCTAGCAGAGACAGGTGTCAGGGGTAAAAGGAGTCACCTGCAAGGCTTGGGGTGTTTAAGAGTACAGGCCTCTGACCCAGAACTCAGGATCCTCCAGTGTCAGTCAGTCTCCTGAGAGCTGGGATTACAGGCAGGAACCACCATGCCTTCCTCCCACAACACTGCTTTGTTTCCCTTCTGTCGTATTTGGCTTGCTTGGTGAAGCGAGTCCTTCCCTTGTTCCTGGATACAAGCATAAGCAGTCCCTGGGATACTTCTCATTACTCCTGCATGAAATAAAGACCCAGAGTCACTCCAAGCCCCCAGTGGGCTCCAATTCCATTCCATTAGCCAGTTTAGTGCAATAATAACCTGGAACGTAGTTGAAATGAATATCTCCAGCCCTTCGGCTGTGAGTTCCTGTCTGGGGGTGCTGGTAGGCCCTGTCTGCTCTTTGGGTGGGGTTTGCAGGTCGTCCACGCCCTCCCCACCCCGTGCTGCTTGCTGGAGCAAGCGTGGATGCAGACTCCCTCCTGTCACCCTCCACCCCCGTCCCCTGAGCCCTGCCAGCCACTGCCTGGTACATCCCCTTTGGGTTCCTTGTTGATTTTTTTTTGAGCAGGGGGGAGGAGGTTGAACTCTGGGCCTGGGCTCTGTCCCTCAGCTCCACAGCTAGCGGTCTACCACTTGAGGCACAGTGCCACTTCCGGTTTTCTGGTGGTTTATTGGAGGAAGGGTGTCTCGGAGATTTCCTGCTCCATCTGGCTTTGAACCACGATCCTCAGATCTCAGCCTCCTAAGTAGCTAGGATTACAGGCATGAGACACTGATGCTCTGCTATTCATTGATTTTTTTAAATTGCGTCTCTATCTCCTTATACTGCCCAGTCTTGGATGGTGGCTTGGTGTTGCTCTGTGACTCAGTTTCCTGGTGACTGAGTAAGGAGATCATTTAAGAATGAGGCAAGCCAAGTACCCGAGGTTCACGCCTATGATCCTAGCTCCTAAGGGGCCTGAGAACTGAGGATTGTGGTTCAAACCCAGCCCAGGCAGAAAAGTCCATGACTCTTATCTCCTATTAGCCAGCAAAAAAGCTGGAAATGGGGATGTGGCTTAAGAGTACCAGCCTTGAGTGGAAAAGTTAAGGGACAGCACACAAGCCCCAGTTGCTAACACAAAAACTAAAATTAAAAAAAAAAGACAAGGCAGGAAGCAGAATATAGTGAAGGCAAAGGAGAGAAAGTGGATGCATGGAATGAGACCAGAGGAAAGTATGGGTGACAACTCTGTGGACCTAGGATTACAAATTCAACCCAACTTCCATGGGATTTCTTTACCAACTAAGAAAGAACAACTACTGCGGATGTGTTGTGATTGGATACAAACTTAAAATTTTTGTATTCCTTCATCACACCGAGCAAGAAGAGAAGCTGTGTATGGCCCTCTGCCTGCCAGTGTCAGTACCTGCTTAGCTTGGCACCCCGGGACTCTTCCTGCAGTAGACAGGGCACAGGGTGCTACGGGGCACACCATTGCACACACACAGCGCATGACTTTCCATGGGCGGCAGTGAGCGAGTCAGGTGATGCCGGAGCTCCTGCTGCATGTGCTGTAGCCCTATAATTAGTGACATTGCTCATTAATAACCAATTCAAGCTGATGAACAATTAGCCGTCCTTAATCCAACATATAATTTGGTCATGAATTACAAGGTGCAGGAGTGTTACACCTGCTCAAGTCGGCTAGGTGGAGAGCTGCCTGCATCTTATCTCCACAAACTGGGGGACCTGGGCCTCCCATCTCAGAGGAGTTCTCAGCCTTGCCCGGCCCTTGTGCCCACCACTGGCATTTTCTGGCAGTCCCGGTGGGATTTGAAGTGAGGATTCACACTTGCCAGGCAAACTCTACCACTTGAGTCCTGCCACCAGCCCTTTGGTTTTGTTCATTTTCCAGATAGTGTCTCAAGCTGATTTGCGAGACTAATCCTGGATGGTGAGCCTCCTACCTTTTCCTCCTGAGTAGCTGGGATTAAAGGTGTGTGCCACTGCACCCACCCTCCACAAAATTTTATTATGGGGAGGGTGGAGGGTGGGTGTGGGGACATATCCTCCCTAAATCTTGCAGTCATCTTTGGCAAACTTGAATGTTTGCTTGAAGACACTTGAAATTGCAGACGCTAATCCAGAAGTCCTCTAGCCTAACAGAGATGAACCAGAGTGGAAACAAGAAAAACGGAGACTTTATTGCTTAAAAAGTCCCTTCTAATCGGACAGCCATTGTGGAGAATGGGTACTGTATCAGTTGCAGCTTTAATGTTCCTTGTAAAAATTAAAAATACACCCAAGGAATCAATCACACCACCCAGTGACAACTGCCATTAATATTTTATGTGCATCTTACATATTGCACATTCTTACACCTCTCGTAGACTTTTGTGGGTATGTGTCTTAGAAGTCAAGTGCATGTTCACGGAGGCTGTGTCCCTTCTACGACCCCTCTGCTCACCTCAGATGGGCTTTTTCCGAACCTCTGTGTCTCCAGTTAGCAATTTGTCCCTGGGGCTTAGTTCTGTTTTGTTGCTGTTATTTCTTAGCTTTCTCCCATGGGCTCCGGTGCATCAGCCCTGCCTCCTTCGCTCGCCCCTGTACCCTGGCAGTGCCAGCTCTCCGGTCTCCTGTTTCCCAGCACGGCCCTGGCCTCCAGCCATTCTTTTCTGTCAGGCACCGACCACCCCTGTCAGCCTCAGTCTCCTGCCAGGGACTTCACTGTGGATACAGGCTGTGAGAACTAGGTCTCCAGAGACCCTGAGCTCCTGCCCAACGTGGCTGCAGACTGGAGTTCCCACAACCTCCCTTCGGGTTTGGGAATTTGCTAGAATAACTCAAGAGAATCTTTGAGCACTGTTACCAGTTTATCCTAAAAGACAGAGGTGGAGAAGAGCCAAGTAGCCCTGTACCATCTCCCCTTCCCGGGCCTGGCAGTCTCCCCCTTCCAGGCTGTCTCCCAGGTCATAGGAATGAGAGGAGCAGGCTCTGTGGCTGCCGGCTTCCCTGGGCTCGGGGCTCCATGGCGTGCAAGGCTCAGCTGCTTTTGTAATGGGCATCATGAAAGCTCAGAGAAATGCCTGGCTTCTCAGGTTCTTTTATGTTCTGAACTACTTCCGATCATGTAGCATTTTGTTATTCCTCACGTGTGCGCACATGCACACAAACCCGTCCTAGGACTTGA